TAAAATATATAGTGTAACAGATACAGATATGACAGGAACAGAACAAGTGTAACAAGTATATAGATGTTATTGTTGATTCTGGATATTTTCTTTATGCTACTTCCGAGACATCAATAATATGTTGGATTTGATATAAATATAACAGTTTAATTAGCATTTGATGCTCTACAATATTATATTTGTACTTAAGAGTTTGGGGTTATTTTTACTATGTTCTATAATAGTGATACTTACCTTTAATAAAAATGAACAGATGTATCCTACGGTGTAATAAATTTCTTGGTTTAATTCCTTTTTTTGGAATAGATCTTATCCAACAGACGTCTCACCGATTTAGAAATATAACAGTTTAATTAGCATTTGATGCTCTACAATATTATATTTGTACTTAAGAGTTCGAAGATTATTTTTACTATGTTCTATAATAGTGATACTTACCTTTAATAAAAATGAACAGATGTATCCTACGGTGTAATAAATTTCTTGGTTTAATTCCTTTTTTTGGAATAGATCTTATCCAACAGACGTCTCACCGATTTAGAAATATTGTTAGACTTCATTCAGTCGTCTACCAACGAGCTGATGTGGATGAACAGAAAAGAGGAAATAGAAGTCACTAGAGATTGGAGTTCCGTCACTCTGAACATTGTAGAAATAGAGCAGTATCAAGAAGTAAGTGGCTTTAATAGTGTAAGCTGAAACAATGTTAGATTTATCACGGTTCAAAGTATTGTAAAAATGCATCAAAAACATGTTTATTTATTGATGTGAGATATACCGAACAGCAATTGAAGTTTTATCCTAATTGAAATATTTATTCCGTTTTTCTCTACAGATAAAAATTACTGTAGGCTGTGAGCAGCAAACAAGATGAAAGTTTCTCGTTGAGTATTTAAGTTGCGATGAGATTCCCCCTTTATTAACGACAGGACTTTTTGTGTAAAATATCAATTTTATTAGTTCCTAATTTGAAACTTTGTGTTACAGACTTTTTCCTCTGAACTTGAAAAAAGAGAGATTCAGTTTAATGCTATCACAGACAGAGGCCAGAGCCTGAAACTCCAGAAACATCCGGCTAGCAACTGTATCGAGGTGAGTGCTCATCCTTCTGTAGTAAAGTGCGTCACATACACTGTTAATGAAAAACTAACTTGAGAAGAAGTTTTGATATCAGAGAAACTAACAATCATCTGTCCTCTTCAGTTTGTAAGGAGAAGACACAAATGTGTGTGTCAGAATTAGTTTCTTGGATATCAAGACACGAAACAGTGTTTTTTACTAACTGTTTCCCATCAGTGTTTTTTACTAACTGTTTCCCATCAGTGTTTTTTACTAACTGTTTCCCATCAGTGTTTTTTACTAACTGTTTCCATCAGTGTTTTTTACTAACTGTTTCCCATCAGTGTTTTTTACTAACTGTTGCCCATGATATTCTGTTCTTTTGTTACCTATACTGGGTTCATGTTTGATGCCAGCTTAATCTTCTTCTTCTTTTTTATAAAATGTGAACTTATAGTGTCAAATACACTCCCTAAATCCACAATAAAATATGAACTTATAGTGTCAAATACACTCCCTAAAGCCACAATAAAATGTGAACTTAGAGTGTCAAATACACTCCCTAAAGCCATTATAAAATATGAACTTAGAGTGTCAAATACACTCCCTAAAACCATTATAAAATATGAACTTAGAGTGTCAAATACACTCCCTAAAGCCATTATAAAATATGAACTTAGTGTGTTAAATACACTCCCTAAAGCCATTATAAAATATGAACTTAGAGTGTCAAATACACTCCCTAAAACCATTATAAACTATGAACTTAGAATGTCAAATACACTCCCTAAAGCCACTATAAAATGTGAGCTTAGAGTATCATATACACTCCCTAAAACCATTATAAAATATGAACTTAGAGTGTCAAATACACTCTCTAAAGCCATTATAAAATATGAACTTAGAGTGTCAAATACACTCCCTAAAACCATTATGAAATATGAACTTAGAGTGTCAAATACACTCCCTAAAGCCATTATAAAATGTGAGCTTAGAGTGTCAAATACACTCCCTAAAACTATTATAAAATATGAACTTACGGTGTCAAATACACTCCCTAAAGCTATTATAAAATATGAGCTTAGAGTGTCAAATACACTCCCTAAAACTATTATAAAATGTGAGCTTAGAGTGTAAAATACACTCCCTAAAGCTATTATAAAATATGAGCTTAGAGTGTCAAATACACTCCCTAAAGCTATTATAAAAGAAAATGTGACACTTGACAGCAATGATAGAGTGTTGTTTTGAAGTATTTTAAGTGTATTTAATGTGACAGCAATGATGGAGTATTGTTTTGAAGTATTTTAAGTGTATTTTTTGTTTCAGGCTTACTTATCAGCCATGCAGTCCCAGTGGTATTGGTTACTACAACTCTCTATATGCTTAGATGAACACTTACGGAATGCTTCATCTTATCATCAGGTAGGGACTTGTTTCTTTCGTTGTTTTCACCAAGTATGATAAAACTGCTCAGTTTTCTGTTAGTTGTTGTAAACAACCTGATTAGTTGAGTAAAATTATATTAGTACATCTGTTTCATATTTATTGTTTTGATTAATTTAGCTACACATTAGTGCTCTGTATTTATGTTCAAAAGAGTATTGAAGGGCGAGGAACTGAGTTTGAGACTAACGAAGTGTGAAGAATGAAAAAAATTATATTACAAGTTTAACAAATGTCCAATTTTAATTGTTGTGATGTTTGTGTTGCTATTTAGTTAGGGTAAATTAACCAGATGGTTTCTTCTTGTTTTATAAAATGTTTAAATTGTTACATTTATGGAAATATGTTATTTTTAACTAACTAGATATTTTTATGGTAATTAGAGTATTTTAACATTTCATTATGTAGTTATTTTATCAGAAGTCGTGTTTTTGTTAGAATGCCGCATGGTTTCTTCTTTTAGTTCTTTACAGAAGCAAAGGAGTGTGAACAGTGGCTAGCACATGTCGAAGAACAGTTAACTACCACTTTTAGTCGTAAGACTTTTCCTATCGATGAAGGAGAGAGTCTACTGAAGCAGATGTTGGATCTCAAAGAAGATATGACTCATTACAAGAATATAGTTATATCTCTTGTTGACCGAAGCAAAGGAATAGTCCCTCTCAAACAGAGACGACAGCCTCTTTCAGAACCTCTGAAAATCACAGCAATCTGCTCTTACAAACAACTTAATGTAAGTGTTTCTCTGGTTTGCAGCTGTCTGTCTTGAATGCTTTGGAATGTTTTATTTCTTACATTCATGATGATTTTTAAAATCTTCCTGAGTGCCTGTAAATAAGAACACTTTGTATAAATATAAACCAGAATGCAGTGTGTTTACTTCTAAAAAATGTTCAGACCTTTAGTAATGTCTGTAAAGCATACCAGGGATTGTTGGAATATCTTAACCAGCTTTCAATGTTTGTAAGCATTACCTGACATTGTGAGAATAACAACTTGTTTAGTTTCAAAATTCTTTGTACAAGTTCTGTCAGTAGTATAGAGTGTGAAAGGAATGTACAAGTTCTGTTAGTAGTGTAACATGTGAAAGGAATGTACAAGTTCTGTCAGTAGTGTAGCGTGTGAAAGGAATGTACAAGTTCTGTCAGTAGTGTAGCGTGTGAAACCTTTCACACGTTACACTGCTGACAGAACTTGTACATTCCTTTCACGTGTTACACTACTGACAGAACTTGTACATTCCTTTCACACGCTACACTACTGAAGAACTTGTACATTCCAATGTACAAGTTCTGTCAGTAGTGTAGAGTGTGAAAGGAATGTACATTTTGGATATCTTTTATATTGTAAAATCAAGATAAACGTTTTGAAACTGGTGGTTTGATTTTTATTTGAAATATATCTTAATATTTTCCAAAAGCTCAAGAAGTACAAAAAGTTTACTTTTAGTGGTTCTGACCCATGAAACATATGGACTAAAAACACAGAACATACTGTTTGCTGTGAAAAAATGGTTTGAATAAAAGAAGGATTTTTCTTTTCAGATGACGATAATAAGAAAGGAAGAGTGTTGGCTCCATGACAACAGCCAGAAAATTAAATGGAAAGTAAGTGGCTTAGTTTTCTTAGCAGTATTCCTGTAACATGATGATCAAAGTTCCTGTAACATGATGATCAAAGTTCCTGTAACAGTCTTACATGACGACCAAAGTTTCTGTAACAGTCTTACATGATGATCAAAGTTCTTGTAACAGTCTTACATGATGATCAAAGTTCTTGTAACAGTCTTACATGATGATCAAAGTACTTGTAACAGTCTTAGATGATGACCAAAGTTCTTGTAACAGTCTTACATGATGATCAAAGTACTTGTAACATGATGATCAAAGTTATTGTAACAGTCTTACATGATGACCATAGTTCCTGTAACAGTCTTAGATGATGACCAAAGTTCTTGTAACAGTCTTACATGATGACCAAAGTTCCTGTAACAGTCTTAGATGATGACCAAAGTTCTTGTAACAGTCTTAGATGATGATCAAAGTACTTGTAACAGTCTTACATGACGACCAAAGTTCCTGTAACAGTCTTACATGATGATCAAAGTACTTGTAACAGTCTTACATGACGATCAAAGTTCTTGTAACAGTCTTACATGATGATCAAAGTTCCTGTAACAGTCTTACATGACGACCAAAGTTCCTGTAACAGTCTTACATGATGACCAAAGTTCTTGTAACAGTCTTACATGACGACCAACGTTCTTGTATTCGTCTTACATGATGATCAAAGTTCTTGTAACAGTCTTACATGATGACCAATGTTCCTTTAACAGTCTTACATGATGACCAAAGTTCTTGTAACAGTCTTACATGACGACCAACGTTCTTGTATCCGTCTTACATGATGATCAAAGTTCTTGTAACAGTCTTACATGAAGACCAATGAAATTGGTTATATTGTGTATAGATTATGTAGACATACAAATAACTGTCAAGTTAAAAACGTTTATTTTATACCTTCAAAAATATACTCCTGATTTTGTGTTAAAGATGCAACTTGTTTTTAGAGAGAATAATTTTCTAGGTCATCAACTCTGCTGGTACTGAGGGACTGGTCCCTGGAGTCTGTTTTGTTATACCACCTCCAAACTTTGAAGCTACGGATCTTGCCCAAAGGTAGATGTCCTGTTGTTAATAGACAATGTGGTAGAATTTAATCTTTATCTACTTCATTGTTGTGATAATTCACAATTTGAAGTAAGTAATTTATTCAAATTTAGCAAATAAATATTCGTGACATGTTTTAATATCTTACAAACATTCATCTGATAGTGAAACAAAATGAAATCGGTATTGTTAACTTTCATGAGAACTCTGCAACTGTTTAGATGGGTAGGTGATGTGGGAGATGTAGGTGAACACATAGGTATTGTCAGAGGTTCAGGTGGACGTGTAGATAATGTTAAACTGCCCAAGAAGTATAAAAATAATAGCATTGTTATATGTGCTATGCAATAATTTTAAAGTGTCTAAAATAATATTATGCTGTTTGGTTATTTCAGCTACAAAAATATCAGACTGGTTATTTCAGCTACAAAAATATCATACTGTTTGGTTATTTCAGCTACAAAAATATCATACTGTTTGGTTATTTCAGCTACAAAAATATCAGACTGGTTATTTCAGCTACAAAAATATCATACTGGTTATTTCAGCTACAAAAATATCATACTGGTTATTTCAGCTACAAAAATATCATACTGTTTGGTTATTTCAGCTACAAAAATATCATACTGTTTGGTTATTTCAGTTACATAAATATCATACTGTTTTGTTATTTCAGCTACAAAAATATCAGACTGGTTATTTCAGTTACAAAAATATCAGACTGGTTATTTCAGCTACAAAAATATCATGCTGTTTGGTTATTTCAGTTACATAAATATCATACTGTTTGGTTATTTCAACTACAAAAATATTATACTGTTTGGTTATTTCAGCTACAAAAATATCAGAATGGTTATTTCAGCTACAAAAATATCAGAATGGTTATTTCAGTTACAAAAATATCAGACTGGTTATTTCAGCTACAAAAATATCATACTGTTTGGTTATTTCAGTTACAAAAATATCATACTGTTTGGTTATTTCAGCATTGTTGAGTTTCACAACAAATTACTGAAGTCATTGGATGTCAACATTGTTAGGTATTTTAACGAGTATAGAGTAATCATTGGATGTCAACATTTTTAGGTATTTTAACGAGTAGAGAGTAATCATTGGATGTCAACATTGTTAGGTATTTTAACGAGTAGAGAGTAATCATTGGGTGTCAACATTGTTAGGTATTTTAACGAGTAGAGAGTAATCATTGGATGTCAACATTGTTAGGTATTTTAACGAGTAGAGAGTAATCATTGGATGTCAACATTGTTAGGTATTTT